AGTTGAGTTATATAAGATAATTTAGTTTGGTCATGGTATGTTTAATGTGGTCATAGTTGAGTTATATAAATTAATTCAGTTTGGTCATGGTATGTTTAATGTGGTCATAGTTGAGTTATATAAATTAATTCAGTTGGGTCATGGTATGTTCAATGTGGTCATGGTTGAGTCATATAAATTATGTTAATTCAGTTTGGTCATTGTTGAGTTGTATAAATCATTTCAGTTTGGTCATCATTAAATTGTATAAATTACACAGACCTGTGATGGCTTTATTGTCTTGAAATTTTTACATGTTCTACAGTAATTCCTGTACCCTGAATCTGGAAATGATATCCATTTTTCTCCATCACTTGCAGATTTTTCACAAAATGTTATATGTACTTTTACGTAAGTTAATCGTTTTCATTGAAATTGGGTCACATTTTGATATGCTTAAAATGTGGACAATCACTGACTATAGATTTCTCTAGACCAATTGCGACGTGAGAGTCTTATCAATCATTCTAGAATCTACGAGAAACACAGGGCTAGTATATAAACAGTTAACAGGCTGCATGACTTGTCATTTCTTGATTTGTTGAGAGATTTGGGCCTTCCAAAGGATTCTTCAGAGATTTTGGGATCCAGACTTTGGGTTAAGAGACATTGTTTTACTGGTACAGAAATCATGAGAAAGAGTTTATACCATATTTTTCAGAAAAAGGTTCACTGGTTTATTGCAACAATATTGCTGAATTAATACCAATGCTAGGAGTGTCTATGAACCAAGTGAGTCACGTTTGTTCATTGATTCGTTCAAAAGAAATCTAAAAAGTGTTCTCCTTGACAATGGTAACATATGCAGCTGTTCCTATTGCTCATTTGGTTCACTTGAAGGAAACGTACAAAAAATAACAAACTTCTTCTTAATAAGGTCAAATAGAAAGATCATGGTTGTCTACTTTGTGGAGACTTAAAAGTCCTTTGTATGTTGTTGGGTCAACAGTCTGGTTATACAAAGTTTCCGTGTATTTGTGTGAATGAGACAGCAGAGCACAAAATCAGCACTGGATAAAGAAGCAATGGCCACACAGAGTCTGCCTGATACCAGGATAGAAAAAATATTAAATGTGAAAGTTAGGTTAACACAAAGAAAGCCCTATTTCCTCCACTTCACATAAAATTGGGCTTGATGAAGCAGTTTGTAAAGGCCTTAGATAAATATGGCGACTGTTTCAAGTATCTTTGTGGGCAATTCTCAGCTCTTTCAGAAGTGAAACTTTAAGAAGGGCTTTTTGTTGGGCCTCAGATTAGGAAACTGCCTTCAGATGAACACTTCAAAAGGACAATGAGGAAAGTTGAAAAACAAGTGTGGATTGCTTTTAAAAATTTTATTGATAAATTTTAGGAAACAGCAAGGACCCAATTTATGAAAATAACAAGCTCAATAAATTCAAAGAGTTGGGTTGCAATATCAGCATGAAGGTTCATTTCTTACATTCACATATTGACTATTTCCTGAAAATCTCAGTGCCGTCAGCAAAGAATAAGTGGAAAGGTTACATCAAGATATCAGGGAAATTGAGAGGAGGTACCAAAGAAGGTGGAACATCAGCATGATGGCTGACTACTGCTGGTCATTGAAGTGAGATGCTCTAGACACAATACATAAAAGAATACAATACATTACATTTAGTTTTGAGACTAAAAGATGTAGATTTCACAAAAAAATCAGGATGATTGAGGATGCATATTTGGTTGACATCATTGTTCTTCCCTTTTCTTCAGTTTGTTTGTCTTTTTGTTAACAAACAATAATAAAAAATGTTCGTTGTGGTAAACGAAATAATAATCTGATCTAAGTAAGAATTTGTTTTTCTTCCCGATTTGTAAAAAATACTTGCATGATAGAAAAAAATTAATATTATTTTCGAAATCTGTGTAGTTGAATCATGTAAATTCCATTATTAAAACCAAAACAACTTTTATGAAGTTTAAATTTGCAAGTTTGTGTTATTTCAGTTTGGTCATGATATGTTTAATGTGGTCATGGTCAAGAGTTATACAAGTTACTTCAGTTTGGTCATTTATGTTTAATGTGGTCATGGTCAAGAGTTATATAAGTTACTTCAGTTTGGTTATTTATGTTTAATGTGGTCATGGTTGAGTTGTATAAATTATTTCAATTTGATCATGGTAAGTACTTAAAATAAGATTTGATGATTGAATCTCAGTTGTTGTCATATGTAGTAGCTACACGACCACCTAAGTCAAATAATTAATTAGTAACAATTTAATAACCAGTTTTTTCCCAGAGAAAATCCCAATCAAGAAGACCTAGGATTAAATCCCAGCCACTACCAACACAGAAATAGTCCTTCTAAAGACTTCCCTGAAGACAGCAGTAAATTAACAGCTAAAATATAGGATAACACTGGTTAATGATTGGTATTTAGTTATAAAATATATAAAAATATAGTTGCTAATTAATAACTAGACTTATGTGATTGTATAAGCTACTAACCAGGGCAGTTTTAGCCATAGCAAGTTTATTCTGGTCATTGATAGTAACTTTTGTTCAGAACAATCTACCTACATATTTCAGAACTAAAAACCAAACCTTTAAAGAGTTTCACAAATTAAATTTACTGTTTGTATGTTCTTAATTATAATGATTAGAATGCATTGTTTTGTCAGTTTGGTATCCTCAGTGTGAGCAATATTTTTGGCCATCATTCCAATAATTTTTCATGAGGTTTAGGCAGCTAAGATTTAGTCATAAACTGATATGTTAAGCTAACAGTGCAAAGTAATCACAGTTAAACTGTATAAAGTAAGTATGATAAGTCTGCTTGTAATAAATGTAATCTGGTTGAAGTATAATAACATCACAGAGTAAGTTAGATTAATTTGGTTGTTATTAAACAATACCACATAGTAAAGAAAGACTTATCTGTTTTTGGTTGAATAATACCACAGAGCAAGATTAATTTGGCTGTTATTAAACAATACCACATAGTTAAGAAAGACTTATCTGTTCTTGGTTGAATAATACCACAGAGTAAGTTAGATTAATTTGGTTGTTGTTAAACAGTACCACATAGTAAAGAAAGATTTATGTGTTCTTGGTTGAATAATACCACAGAGTATGATTAATTTGGTTATTGTTAAACAGCATATCACGTAGTAAAGAAAGATTTATCTGTTCTTGGTTGAATAATACCACAGTGTATGATTAATTTGGTTATTGTTAAACAGCATATCACGTAGTAAAGAAAGATTTATCTGGTTTTGTTTGAATAACATCACAGAGTAAGATTAATTTGGTTGTTGTTAAACAGTATCACAGAGTAAAGAAAAAATTATCTGTTCTTGGTTGAATAATACCACAGAGTATGATTAATTTGGTTATTGTTAAACAGCATATCACGTAGTAAAGAAAGATTTATCTTGTTTTGTTTGAATAATACCACAGAGTATAATTAATTTGGTTATTGTTAAACAGCATATCACGTAGTAAAGAAAGATTTATTGTTCTTGGTTGAATAACATCACAGAGTATGATTAATTTGGTTATTGTTAAACAGCATATCATGTAGTAAAGAAAGATTTATCTGTTCTTGGTTGAATAACATCACAGAGTATGATTAATTTGGTTATTGTTAAACAGCATATCACGAAGTAAAGAAAGATTTATCTGGTTTTGTTTGAATAATACCACAGAGTAAGATTAATTTGGTTATTGTTAAACAGCATATCACATAGTAAAGAAAGATTTATCTGTTCTTGGTTGAATAATACCACAGAGTATGATTAATTTGGTTATTGTTAAACAGCATATCACGTAGTAAAGAAAGATTTATCTGTTCTTGTTTGAATAATACCACAGAGTATAATTAATTTGGTTATTGTTGAACAGTATATCACGTAGTAAAGAAAGATTTATCTGTTCTTGGTTGAATAATACCACAGTGTATGATTAATTTGGTTATTGTTAAACAGCATATCATGTAGTAAAGAAAGATTTATCTGTTCTTGGTTGAATAATACCACAGAGCAATATTAATTTGGCTGTTATTGAACAGTACCACAGAGTATGATTAATTTGGTTATTGTTAAACAGCATATCATGTAGTAAAGAAAGATTTATCTGGTCTTGGTTGAATACTGTCAGAGAGTAAATTAAAGATTAAATTTAATCTGTTCTTGGTTGATTATTGTGACTCGGTGATCAATCTTGTTGTGGTTGGTTATCGTCATAGAGTAAATGATTCTATGCAATCTGTTGGTTGAATATACTGTCACAAGGAAGTAATTAAATTTAGTCTGTGGTTTAATATTATAAAAGATTGGGTTATCAGAGTTTAAGATGATCAGTTATTTGTTTTGATTTGTTAGTTAGATGCCCAATATAATATTGGGTTATCAGAGTTTAAGATGATCAGGTGAACATTATTACATATTCATTGAGAATGTTAGAAAGTTTTTCTGGTTGAATACTTCCAGGTTCAGAATGGTTTAGTTTTTATTAACAGAACTGGTCAACTGATGTTGTCTTAGCTGATACTAGCAAACATCATCTTCTTTAAAATGGGTTTTAATTAATCTTTTATTTCCTAGCTTCATGTAGGAAGAATTTAGTATGTGTTTTAAACAGGTATGTGTTGCTTAATTAATATATTATTCCCTAACTTCTGTTAGCTTGAGTTAAAAACATTTTTTAAACAAATGCTACTTTCAAAGTAATATTCATTGTAATACAATTAGTTTCAGCTTAACGTAAATACTTTACTAAATATTACAACCTTCAGTATCACTTGCATATAGTTAGGTGTCTTATTCATTTTAATGCTATGAAAAACCCCTTTGCAAAATATAATTTGAATTTTGCTAAAAAAGGGTTGTGTAGGTAAGAATAAAGGAAAGGTTAATTAGAGCCGTATGGTAGCATATAAATAAAGTGATATAAATATGTCAATTTTTTTGACATATGAAAAATGAACAATAACAAATCTGTTCACCTCAAACTGTAAAATTTAATTTCATAGCAAAATATTCCTGATATTTTTATTGTTTTATGTATATTTAACATTTGTAGTTTATAGCTTATTTGTTTTTACTCTTTATTTATGTTACTTATGATTCATTTCAGTAAATCAATCTGTTTTCTTTGAAACCAGTTTTTTCCAAGATGGACTAAAAACAATAGAACACTTCAGTGTCTACATTTCAGAATTAGCAACAAAACTTCAAAAAATCAGACAAAAACAGGACGAGGAAAGAAAGAAGTTAATAGATCTTCGTAATATTCTGCGATGTTCTCCTTCACTGGTTGGAAGAGAGGTTAGTTTTAGTTTATAGGAGAACTGAAACCTTCTATGATGTTCTCCTTCACTGGTTGGAAGATGTTTTAGTTTATAGAACTGAAACTTTTAGGATGTTTTCGTAATTTATTTGGAAGAGAGGTTAGTTCTAGATGTAATAGCATTGTGTATTTTTCTTTCTATTCTTGAATACTCAAACAGTCTTCTTTAATTCTAAATGCAATAACAAAGAATATTTGTGTTTGTTTTCTCAGACAGTCTTTAATAATTCTGGATGTAATGACATACTGTATTTCTCTTTCTTTTGTTGCATAGTCAGACAGTAGATTTAAGGTTAGTTTTACTTTATAAAACTAGAAACCTTCTATGATGTTTCTTTACTCTAGTTGGAAGAGAGGTTAGTCTTAGTTTTTAATAGAAGTTAGGTTTTAATTTGTTGTGCACTAATTTTTTCTCAATATCACTTCTGATAGCAAGTTGGAACAGTACAATCAGGTTACACCCTTCACCAGCTTCACGGAAACAAACATTACGGTTATACCAAAACAGGTTATCTAAACAAGAAGTCTGATGGGAAGGTGAGAAAGGTATGGCAGAAGCGGAAATGTGAGACTAGGGATGGGTATCTCTTCATTTATCACTCTGATGTAAGTGTGTTCTAGTAGCTCTATGGTGATTTAAAAAGGACTCAGAAATATTATGTAGTTATAATGATTATTGAAAAACTTTCCTGTTTCACTTTCTTATCTGAACTATTCTTGGAGCTAGTGTGTTAACTTGACATTTCTGATATATAATTTTATTGTCAGTGTGCTACCTTGACATTTGTGATACATAGCTTTATTGTCAGTTTGTTAATTTGACATTTCTGACACATAATTTTACATGTCAGTGTGCTACCTTGACATTTGTCATACATAGCTTTATTGTCAGTTTGTCAACTTGACATTTGTGATACATAATTTTACATATCAGTGTGCTACCTTGACATTTGTGATACATATCTTTACTGTCAGTGTGTTAAATTGACATTTGTGATACATAGTCTTTACTGTCAGTGTGTTAACTTGACATTTGTGATACATAGCTTTATTGTCAGTTTGTCAACTTGACATTTGTGATACATATCTTTACTGTCAGTGTGTTAATTTGACATTTGTGATACATAGCTTTATTGTCAGTGTGTTAACTTGACATTTGTGATACATAGCTTTATTGTCAGTGTGTTAATTTGACATTTGTGATACATAGCTTTATTGTCAGTGTGTTAACTT